TTCAAATTGACGTACTGTCCGACATTTTATTATGCTAAATTTTATAAATAAATTAAAACATATGAAGAATGCGCTCGTGAAATTATTGGAAGGTGGAAGATATCCACTAAGACATAGGAAGTGATAATTATGTTAAAAAGTACGTAGAATCTTATGGTGCCAACTGTTTTCGGGTGCGGTGTCGAATAGGTACTTTTCGGCGTTATTTTCGCTAAAATATACAAAATAAGTTAAACATAAAAAGGCGCTCGTAATATCACTGAGAAATGGAAGGTATTTGATAAGTTTTAAGAAGTGATAATTATCTAAAAATGTCTGTAGAATCTCAAGGTGTCAACGGTTTTCGAGTGCGGTGTCAAATAGGTACTTTTCAGCGTTATTTTCGCTAAAATATAGACAATAATTTAAACATGAAAAGGCGCTCATAATATCACTGGGAGATGGAAGGTACCTGATAAGTTTTTAGAAGTGATAACTATGTAAAAATGTACGTAGAATCTCATGGTGTCAACGGTTTTCGAGTGCGGTGTCAAAATTCATGAGTAGTTAAAGAAATTGTCAATTTTGTTTAAGGGTAAAAAGTAACAGCGCATTCCCTTGCGTGTTTTTTGTCGTCTGTACTCTGAGGCATTCTTACATTTTTCATGTTGCGTGATTATGAACACTAAGCTGAGGTTGTTATTTTGACTCAATTGTGAACGATTAGAAGAAACATTTTTGCGTTGATATTAAGGATAAAAATAAACTTCAGCTTACTACTGGAATGTTTATGTTGTTGGTAATAATGGGTTCACCACACTTTGAAGGGTTTATTTTCTCTAGGAAATTATTCAGTCATGAAATATACGTATATAGGTCGTCAAACTTTTCATCCCTTTTGTTTCTTTTTCAATTCATATTTTAGCAGGTAAATATAGGGTTGTTCGGAAAGTAATTTCGTTTTTTCCCGACAGAGGAATTAATTGTATTCTTTTGCACCCAACTTCACATTTAAGCCGTATAATTTTTATATGCTTTGAGAGCTCATATAGCAAGGCTTGTGTGTGAAAAATTCCAATTAATTCTACGCAGTAGTTTTTGGTTGGTGCCCTTTTAAATATGGAGAGCGATAAGC